GTGTGTGTGTGTGTGTGTGTGTGTGTGTGTGTGTGTGTGTGTGCGTGTGTGTGTGTGTGTGTGTGTGTGTGTGTGAACTTTCTTATGCCTAGATGAAAATCTATGCCAAGATGTAAGTCAGCATGTTGCTTATTTTTCAAGTTATCAAGCTCACAACGTTAACATACATAATACATACATGGCAGCAGCCATCTTGGATCTTGACTGATCACCCGGTTTCCAAAAGGAACCTTTCTTACACCTAGATGTAGCCACACACCAAAATGGAAGTCGGTACCTCACTTATTTTTTAAGTTAGCATGCTCACTACATGGATGAACAGAAGGTATTTCCAATCCCTCCTCTTCGCTCCGTGACTGGGGACAATAAAATCTGTCTGGTTGTTTATGAGATAATTTGCTAACAGACACCAACACACACACAAACGTTATCCTTTTGGCAGTGGGCGATAACTAACACACACACAGGTGTGAAGCTTTTAGTCCGTTATTCTGTCAAAGCGTCCGATGAGCATCTCGCACCTGAATCTTCTGCAAACTGGACGAGGCCTCAGAGAGATTTTGAGGTGCATCAAAGCATTTGGCCGTGTTGATCTTGGCATTAACCAGCCACTGCTGGAATTCTCTGAAAGCTGAGCGAAACGCTTGGTCCAGCATTTTCTCTTTGTTCTGGCACTCTCTGGTAGCTTGAAGACTCAGGCTAGAAAAACAAAAACAATATACAAGCAAACAAACAGGTCTCAGAGTCAGTCAGTGTGTGTAAAACTGACTAAGCTGTTTTTATTTACATTCTACATGACATCCAAACTTTTTCAGAACTGTGTTTGTCCTTTTTATACCAAACATTACAGCCGTTCAGAACAAGTCAGGTGCCATGAAACCCTCAGTGTTTCTGCATTTTTCTGACCTGTTGTAATCCTTGATAAGAGCAGACACTCTGTCGGACTGCGAACCCATTTCTCTGGAGAATCGACACAAATCGTTGAGCTGAGTCTTCAGACGATCAGACATGGCCTCGGCTTTGATGAGCTCCTCTAAAGTATCCTGCATGGAAAACAAGCGTGCAGTGAGAACAGCTACAAATTATTCATTCATTCATTGATTTAGCATGTGTCAGTCATGTAAGCTAACAATGATCATATTTCTCAGGACCAAGACAAAAAAACTGTGCCTTTGCTAAATGCCAGCCTTTAACAGCCTCCTCTCCATCACTTTTCCCCTCTGCTTGGGTCAGTCGTGTTCGACAGTCCTTCAGCTTAGAGCTGAAGTCCTGCAGGGCCTGCTCCAGCTGTGCCGACAGGCTGCTGAACTCCTGTTCTGAGCTCGATATTTGTGAGAGCGCCGTTTCCAGACTGGCGCGTGTCTGTAGGGCCGTGCGTTCCCACTGCTCCCAAGAGGACAGAAGAGTTGCTTCCTCTCGCTCCAAAGCCTCGTAGCCTCCTGAACTCGTGAAATCTCTGGCCACGACACCACACCTTTGAACACGGCTCAGCCTCTCTCTGCCTCGCTGCTTGGAGTCCAGCAGCTCCTGGACAAAACATTAACAGAATATCTTGTTTGTGGCCAAAAATACCTAAAATAACTGATTACATATGCAGCAGAAATGTCTAGGTTTTCAAATTCAATATTGATTATAAATGGTGAGAAAAACAAAAGTGGAGCATGTAAGTAAAACTAAACACTTAAACTGCATTTATTTCATGTGTCTAACTTTGTAGCCAAAGTGGGTCTTTAAAACTAAAGAAGGGAGAAATCTCTCACCAAACAACTAAAAACAAATTGTAAATAAAGACATTTTAACTGATGTGATGTCATTTCCTCACCTGCACTTTGGAGAGCTTTCTTTGAATGTTGGCCGAGTCTCCTGACAGGTCGGACCACCGCTGAAGCTCCTCTTTTGCTGAAACCAGCCAGTCGTCGAAGTCTCTCACAGCGTCGAGGTACTGCTCGTGCTCGGACACAATTTTCTGCATGGACTGCACTTTACCCTTCAGAGCAGAAACAAATCACAATGGATGGGTGAATAAACTTCGACACCCACCTGTTAAAATGATATTCCTGAATCTAAATCACCTTGACAACAGCGGATATATCGGCAAAGCGTGCATTGAGCTCTGCCCTCGACTCGGGTCCAAATGTGTGGTCACCAGTTTTTTCCTGCATCTCCACAGCTCTCTCTGTGAGGCGAGACAGAACTGCTGCACGAGTGTCCACATCAGCCTGGATGGCCCTCAGTCGCTCCAGTAAGGCGCACTTCTTCTTAAGGTCAGGTTGCTGAGGCAGAGTCATCCCCACTTCTTGCTCCACCAACTCCATCCACTGCTGCAGTTGGCTCTTATTTTCTTGGAAGCTGGACCACTGGGCCACTGTCCACTCCAGACGACTATGAATGATAGAAAAATAGTGAGAATTTTTTTTTTTTGTGCATAATCAAAGAAATGAGCGTCGACATGAATTACAACCCCAGTCCTAAAAAAAGTTGGGTCTTTTTGAACAACAGATACAAAGATTGGCAAATTCCATATCTCCAAATGTTATTACCAATGGAACATAATAAACACATCACATGTTTATACTAAGAAATAACAGTTTTTAGAAAAAAAATATGATAAGTTTCAATTTGATGGCTGAACCACATTTTTAAAACGTTCAGATAGGGACAGCAAAAAACTAATAATAATAATAATAATGAATTTAATTTGTAACGCACTTTTCATTAACAAAAATCTCAAAGTGCTAAAAGCAAAGTGATGGACTAGGGTTGACCAGTCTGCAAAAAACTGTCTGAATATAGTGGAGCAATTTCAGAATAACGTTCCACAACAGAAAGTATGAACGACAGAGTATCCCATCATCTACAGTTCATAATATTGTCGAGACTTCAAGGATCTCTGATCTCAAAAGACAAGGCTGGAAGTTGATGGTTGTGATCTTCAACCTCAACTTTTTCAGAGTTGGGGTTGTACCACGAGTAAAAAGTGGGTCCGTTTCCTACCTGTGGCAGCTCATAGCATTCATTAGCATGTTGGCCCATGAGTCCTTCAGGCTTTGAAGCTGTGAACAGATGGTCTCCTGCCCCTCAATTCTGCTGTGCTTCAAAACCTGTTCTCCTTTTCCAACTGCCATGTTGAGCTTTACTTCCCCCTCACCTTTCATGAGCAGGATATCCTTTAACAAAACACCAGAAAAAAACCATGATCCCACTTTACAACCATTTATATTTTCCTCAAATGTGCAGAAACAATTAAAAACAAAAAGAGTAGAGCGTATTAGTTACCAACCTGTACAAGACCAAGTCTTTTTTCCAGAGTTTCCTTGTTGCCAATGGTGCTGTTAAGTGAAGCCAGACGCTCCTGGACACCATTAAGCCAGGACCAAGTGGTCTGCAGAGTCTCTTCAAAGGCTTGTTGCTCCTGTAAGGTGAGCTGGCAACTGTGCAGCTTTTCCCTCACACGCCTCAACAACGCCTGGTGCTGTGAGTGCAGCTGAGCTGAAACTCTGGTCTCACTTTCGTCCCCTCGTCCACCCTCGTTTAGAGCCTGTCCCTCCTGACAGAGACGCTCAAACGAATCTCTGCAGGAAAATAACAACAAAAGACATTAGTAAATAAAGGCCTTAAAAGAATGCATGTTGCCCATTACCTTTTATATCAGAGTTTTAAACTAAGATTATCTTGTAATGAGAAATGACAGCGTTAGAACTGTTTTGATCAATGTTGTCAGGAAATTAATCTCTTGTGATATTAAAACATTTTATGAGATTTGTGCCTTGAGGATCACTCTCAACTACTACCACACCAGATTCTCGCTCAATCTTTGTATAACTGACAGAATATGAGCCTTTTTTGTTGTTGTCGGCTAATCTTGATTAGCTGTAGCATCTGTCTTGAGTTGCGGTGACTCCAAAAGTTAATCAGTTGTACGTGAACATCCAATTTGGAGAAAAAACAAAACCCAATTAGCCTCATCAACCTCATGAAATAATTTGCTAACAGAGAATCAAGGTTGACTCAAATATTTATTCATAAAGTTTTCTGCAAGGATCTCGCACAATGTGTTAGTGTTCAGAGTATGTATTGTGAGTATGGCGGCCATCTTAAAATGAGGTGACTCCAAAAGTTAATGAGTTACAATGTACATACAATAATTGCTTTTTAAAAGTTTAATTATAAGTCCAACATCCATCGTTATTATGGATAATAATAATAATATAATAATAATAATAAGGGATAATCACTGTTGTAGACAACAATGGTTATATGCTTCTTTTTTTTTTGCATTTAGGCCACACAAGTATTAAAAAAAGTTAAACGAACCTGTCAAGGAAACACCCGGGCACATGGCTGATGATTACCAAAGACTAAATGAAATCAAACCAGGGGCTGGGCACAGACAGGAGTGTGGCGCTCTCTGCGCTCTTCCTCCTTTTCCTCTTTTAAAACAAATAATGGATCCCCCACTTCCTTGTTAAAGTCCTGAATATCTGTCTCGGACTCGATTTGGTTTTTCAACTCTGCCTCTGTTGTCTGAGAAGGTTCTGACTCCGCAGCTCCATCCTTTTCTGGGTCTGCAGCTCCCTCACCTCAAACACAAGCTGCAGATTCACATTCAAAAATCACCTCATTTTTAAATTCAAACACACTAAAACTGACTAAACATAATTAAGGGTGATGTCACCAGGTGATGCCTTGCTTAGCATAGCATTGTTTCATGCAAGTCACCATTTGTTGTGGCCGAGATGGTGAAGCGGTAGGGTAGCTGACTTGGGACCAGAAAGTCCCAACTCCCTGCCATGCCCACATGTCGTGGTGTCCTTGAGCAAAACACCTAATCCCTAAATGCTTCCCGGATGCTTACATAGCTGCCCACTGCTCCACCTGGGTGTCTCTCACATGTGATGGGTTAAATGCAGAGAACTAATTTAATCATTGTATGTGAACATATACAATGCTAACACATAGCACTACATGCTAACAAACTGCACCCGAGTTATAAACTCCAAACACGCTAAATCTCTCAAATCTCATGACTCACTCCTGTTCTTGCTGTATCTCTATTGCCGCCAAACTTCCTTCAACTTTCACATCTTTTTCTTCTTCCTGTAGATTTTTGCCACTTGGCAAACATCTTCAGGCCTCAGTCAGAAAGGAGATGGGCGGATGTTTGTTTGTTCGGCAGGGGTAAGAACGGCTGTGATGGACTTGTGACTTGTCCAGGGTGTCCCCTGCCTCTGGCACAGTGACTGCTGGACATGGGCACCAGTGACCCCCGCGACCCAAAAAGGAAGAAGTGGGTAAAAGATAATGGATGGATGGGGCTGTTTTCTCCATGCAAAACGACTTGTGCAATAGGAATCTGGGGGCCTTGATGATGTCACCCCATATATGGAAGTGAAAGGGCTGTTTTCAAAGCCACAACAGTGTGAAATCGTTGGAAAATCTTTTTTTTAAACCATTTTATATTACTTTTCAACGTTTGCCACAGAACATAGGTACTCATTTATGTCTCCATCATATTTCAGTGGATGTGCAATATGAAAAAATGGTGGATGTTAGACTTTAAAATCAGTCCGCCTATTCATGAAATATTTTGCTAACATATGACAGCATATGCATGCTTTCGGCAACAGGCAATAATTACATAATTGTTTAAAGAGAGACAGTAGGGATTGTTTATATATAAGACATAATTTTAGGTGCACTACAAAAAAAACCCTGAAAGAACACAAAAAACCAAACATATATTTTCTTTCTTTTTTAGTAAATATACATATTTCTTACCTCTCTTTGAGAACTTCCTGCAGGTATTCCTCCACTTGGTCAAGCATAACTTTTTCATGACCTCTCTGTTTGGCTTCACGTAGATCTGTCGTCATCCTGTTTTCCATATGCTCCAACCACCACCTGAGTTTCTTAAGGCGACCCTCAAACCTATAAAAGGTCCAACATGTCTCCTTTATCAACGATGGGTGCATAAAGAGTGTTAGGAAACGAGCCAGTGAGCATCCTTTACCCTTTCATAAGGCATGCGCTGTCCTCAAGGATCTGTTGGTTCTGCCTGCACTGCTCCACAAAGCTGTCCCAGTCCTGCTGGATGGAGGAGAGGTGTTGCTGGACCTGCCCAGAGCTGGCTTTAGGGAGATGAAGAAGAAGCTTCTCTCCCTCTTCACAAACTTGAGTGAGTCGCATTTCTCCCTCCTCTACACGATCCATGGCACCCTTAGAAATAAAATCACTTTTTTTTGTTAAACTCAAGCAACATTTTAGCAGTTTTAATGAGAAAAGCAAATTATGACATATATTAATTTTCCAATCAAAATTTTAAATGTATTTGGCTACTATACACAAAAGACTTTACCTTGAGTTTCTGTAGTTTACGTTCCACAACTTGTGTGTCTCCTGATCGGTCCGAGCATTCTTTCACAATCTCCCGTTGTTCTGAAAGCCAGCAATGAAAATCCTGGACAAGGTCTGAAGACGGAGCGAGAGAAAAAACAATTAAATTCTTGAAGCAATGCAAATCACCGTTGTCCTTTATGCCAGAGTTGTAGCTTAAGATGAGTTTTAGCTGTTTTGTTCAAACCTTGTGACTGAAGTTATGTTTCTGTGATACTGTAAGTTATGTTGGAGCTCAGAGTAGGTGTTAAGGATAACTCTCAGCTACTACCATGCCAATTAGTTCAATATCTGTACAAGTGACTGAGGTACAGCCATTTTTGAGCTGTCTAAGGCAGTGATTCCCAAAATTGGGGGTAAGGACCCCATTATGGGGGTCCTTGGAAAATCATCAGAAATCAAATTAGATGTAAAAGAATTTGCAAATAGCGTTTTTTTCACCACAACTTTTACAAAAACTAAACGCAAAACTGCATTTAGAATTATGTAAATGTAGTATTATAATTGTTAAGACTGTTTGCCTTGTTAACTGGAGTTCATCAAGCATGAGGACCACTGGTCAGGTGGCAACGGTGGCCGACTCGAATTGTGCCGACTCTAAAAGGTGTTCATTAAAGTACATTTGTTGGTCCTTGAGATATTTTTCTAACAGACAGATGACTCCAGTGGCAACATTTTAAAAACATATTTCGATCAGTTTCACTTGGAGTGTCAGTCGGGGATCAGTCTTAGCTGCTACCACTCCAAATCTTTGGTCAGTGCTTGTAAAATTGGTTGAGTTATTAACAATCAAAAAAATCAGTTGGTTACAGAATTATATCAATTTAATGATTAATGAGAATTTCCCTGAAATCCAACCTCTGGTTCATTTGATATTTTGCTAACATGGCTGACAAGTAATTGTAAATACACACACGGATGAAAAAATTATTGCGCCTTAGTCCTAATTAAGTGTACCCAGAATAAACTCAGTTACTTAAAAAAAAGTATTTTTCTTGTAAAAGTTTATAGGTCTATTTTGGATCTTTCATTCTATTCCTCCTTAGTGAGACCTCTTACCACTGAAGTGCTGCTGAAGGCAGTTTTGCAGCGAGCTCAGGGTCCTGGCAGAAAGCTGGTTCACAGACTCATAAGTCTTGATGAGGTCAGTGAGAGAAGAGCCCAAAGCAGACAGCTCCTCAGAGGGATACTTTCTGCACAGGTTGTTGAGGCTCTCCCTGGTGGAATCAATACTGCCCTGCTGGTTTTGCAGATCTTTTTGAAGGTCCTACCAAACATGTTTTAAAAAAATACTTCTTTTTTTTTTCAGGTTAACAAACAATCAACATGTCTTGTAATATTTGTTCCACTGACATTTTTTAGTGTCTAAACATTTTGCAAGCCTTAGTTATTTTCAGTTTTTGAGGTTGCACCTTTACTCTGCAGATGTCCTCAGGATCGGATTCTGCTGGAGAAGACACCAACGAATCTTCCATGCTCTTTAGCCAAACAGACATCTGTGAGATGTAGTCTTCAAGCTGTTTGCGTTGGGAGCTGAAGTCAGCGAGGTTTCTTTTAACTTGTTCATGAAGTGTCTGGACAGTGTTGATCTTCTTCTGCAGGTCATTCTCCAACACCTGATACAAGGAAAAAAACAAGTTTGTGGGTATCCACTTTGACAGCAAAGGTGAATCTTTTTCTCAGGTTAAAGTACTTTAAAGTTTTGGGGATTAGTGAAGGCTAATAAATAACCAGAAAATTGTATATAGAAATGTTGAAGGGTGCCAATGCAGCCGCTGTCCTAAATAATTTGTGCTAAAATAAGCAGTGCACCATTATCTGCTGTGGCTAAGGGATTTAAATTATGAATGTTCCTAAATTCACCACCTCGCTATCGGCTCGTTGTTCTGAAATGCTCTCAGACGTCTCGGTCCTCCTCGTGTTTCCACTCCTCAGTTTTGTTGTAAGTTGTTGCTGCCGCATCAGCCTTTTTGTTTAAATTTTAGCTAAAATTAGTTTTATTTTTACATCGAGTTCTCTTGAGTTTGCCTTCATCCGACCGTGACACAGTTCTCTGAGATTTTTGTCAACACTGAGCAACTAACAAAAATCACAACACAACATTTCCAGTTGAGTAAACAGGTTTAGTTGTAAATTTTGTAAACAAAAGCTGTTTGACAAGATGCAAAAAAAATAAATAACTAGAGATACGGTAAATGCTGAGTGCTGAATGTCTTTACTGAAATTTGCTGAAGAAGCTAAAAGTAGAATAAAGTTAAAATGAGCAAAACACAAGCTAAGAACATTAACATTAATTAGCAAAACGGTAGCTAAAAACAGAATGGTACTTTAATGCTAAATGTGGCAGAATGGTAGCTAAAAGCTAACAGCAGCGTTAGAAAAAAAATTGAGCAAGTATGCTAAAGCAGATTTCAAAGAGAAAAATGATTTATAGGAGTTTAAGAAATTTCAAAGTATTTTATGGAGACTATCATTTTAAATGCAGGTAAATATTTTGTAAAGTATAAAAGATACAAAAACAACAGTCAGCCAATTATTCTCAACTGTGGCAAATGTTTTGATGCATTAATTAAAATTAAATTAAAAAAGTACCCAGAAGTAGTTTGATTGGAAATAAAAATGTTCACTAGATAAACAGGATAAGCATTATAATGAATTACAAGGATTAGTGTAAGACAGGTACGCTGGTGAAGATTCTCAGTCATCCAGGACATGGTAAACACAAAAAAAGGTTAAAAACAAAACAACTGGACTTTAAAAACGTGTCGCTTCTCATCCGAGGAGCTTTCTCAACTCAAAGAACAGAGAGTGGGGGGTTCAAGTGCTGAGTGACTCGGATGAGAAGCGAAACGTCTTCAGCTACAAAATAAAGTCCAGTTTTGTTTCAACCTTTTATGGATGTAATAAAGGTGCTTTAGTGATTATGCATTGGCTCTTTTAAAAGATTTACAGAAAAGCAAAATACATTATTTTAAGTACCTGTAATTTAGCTGGAGTCTCGTGACTTTGACTGCACTTCTTCAGTTCTGACACTTTGCTTTGCAGGAGCTCAAGTTGCTGCTTCTTCTCACCAATTTCTGCCTGTAAATGTAATAGATGAGAAAAGCATGCTCAAACCGTCTTCTTTTAACAGGTAATATTTTAAACAGTAATCTAAATAATTTCAATTTCAATATGTTTATTATATACTTGTTACAGCGTGAATTGTTCACCAAACCAAAGTAAAACAACTCAGACTTTCTGACGGCTCGTTAATACGTCATCAGAAGTGCAGACATCGTGTCTTGCTGATGTGGTGGCGTGACGATATTTGCATGATAAAAATGGCGTCTTTTGCTTATTGCAGCACCTCCAGGAACAGATTCTGTTGTCTTGCAGAGTATGCACCACGCTTTGTGTGGCTGGTCAGAACTTTATGGGTCTGTTTGTACAGAAAAGCAGCTGCGGTACACTGAGGAGCATCTGGCTGAGGCCGTTAGAAAATCCAGTCTTCTTTTTGTGTTCCAGAAAACTTATAAAGAGAGTCAAATAAGTTGTGCACAAAAGATACCGCAGAGACACGTGGCTGGGAGGGAGTACGGGTCACATTCTCATCTACCGGTGGTGGTCCCTATGTAATAAAATTACAAAATAGAGCTTCTCCACAACTGACAACAGATTTTCCTCCTTCAACTTCAAAATCAACTGAAAATAAACAACTGAGCTGTTGCTGTGTTGGTGTTTCTGTTTGTGCTGGAGAAGATTTCCTGCTATGGTCTCTTTGAGTAAAACGTCTCACAATCACATCAGCGAGAACAAACGTGTGGGCAGAACCTTGTGCCATCAGAAACTGAGTTCGAATCGCTCACACTCAATCTGTATTTGCGTAATTTGAAATTAAACCCATTGGTTTGAAAATTAATTTCAATCAACTGAAACCGAATTTAATGGTTTGAAACTGAATTTCGTTGTATTGAAAATTCAGTTTGACTACGTTCATTTTCAACTCTAGGATTCAATTTCAATTCCAAAATTCAGTTTTTTGTGTCACATCCAGGTCCTTGAGGAAGTCACGGAGTAAAAGAATGTAGATTGACAGATTTACGTTTCACGTTAGTGAAACTTCCTTTACGGTGTATTTTGAGCTGGAGCAGTGGCGCCACATGAACTTGGTGCCACTGATCCAGCTCAAAATACGCCATAAAGGAAGTTCTTCTTCTTTGGTGTTTTACGGCAGATTGCATCCACTCCGATGCATCACCGCCTCCTTGAGACTGAACCCCACGCCTGCATTTCCATAAAGGAAGTTTCACTGATGCGAAACGTAAATCTGTATATCTGGGTTTGATTACTCTGTGACTTTCTCAAGGACCCGGATGTGCAACACAAAAAACTGAATTTTGGAATTGAAATTGAATTATAGAACTGAAAATGAAAGTAGTCAAACTGAATTTTCAATACAACAAAATCCAGTTTCAAACCGTTAAATTCAGTTTCAGTTTAGTGAAATTCATTTCCAAACCAGTGGATTTAATTTCTAATTACGCGAGTACAGATTCAGTCTGAGCGATTCAAGCTCAGTTTCTGATGGCACAAGTTTCTGCACATGCAAACGCCTTACGTCTGGGGACGTATGTAGCAGCATTAAGACATCTAAACTCCCACCATACCTGCAGCGCTGAGAGCCTTACTGACACGTTCTGACTGTTGTTGAAGTTGCTCAGACGTTCGTTGAGTTCAATCACGCAGCTGCTCGTCCAACTTTCAATGTCTTCATTTACTTTCCGCACATCATCCCACAGCCCCAAACTCTGATGCAGGTGATCAGTGTTGTCATCTATTCGCTCAGACATCTGAAGAACAGAATTAAATTAGTTTAAAAACAGCACATCTTACGATAAGTTGAAGCTTCAGTGCTGGAGCCAACTGTCCAGACTTTTAAACCCTGTGCTGTTCAATTAAAAACAAAACATGTTTTAATGTTCAGTTTATATCAGAGTACATATTTTGCTGAATAATCACCATTTTAAATAAAGGACATTTCAAGTGAAACTTACATCTAACCACTGATCAACAATTGTTTCCAAATCCTTTTTGATGATGTCGCTGTTACACTCTGGGACCTTCTTCAGTTCGATCAGCAGATGCTTTCCTTTGGCAGAAAACTGATCTAATTCACGTTGCTTGCAAACAATCTCTCCTTTCATTGCTTCATGCTGAAAAGAATGAGGAACAGTAAACTATCTCAGTATTTAAAAAAAACACTGTAAACAACATAAAATCAACAAGCAGTACATTGATATCCCCCGTCACTCAGGGATTTTAATAGTGTATGTTTTTCAATTTTGTGTTTTTCTGGACTGGAACTGAACAGGGAATGAAATTAAACCTACCAGTAAATGTCTTGGCCCAAGATATGCATGGTGGTAGGCCTTATACCACGAATAAGAACAGAGGTGGGCTTTGTCATATTTTATATTTGTCCAAGTCAGTGCAGAGTGACAGATTCTGGCAAGTAGAATGAGCAGCGATCTCCATCACCAGGTGCAATGGTAGAACCAGGGGGTGGCCAATAGGGGTCTTGACCATGAGAGGTTCATATTTGGCCACCCCGATGGCCACCCTAAATATTTGAGGAAACTTTACTTTTAATCAAAATAAAAACTCAAATGCAAAGTGCTCCAGCATCAACATGCGGCACGGTAACTGCACAGCTGCAGAAAGAAAAGCTTTGCAGAGAGTGGTGAAGGCTGCACAGAAGATGTTGGAGTCAGTCTCCCCACCATCACAGACATCTACACCTCTAGATGCAGGAAGAGGACCAACTGCATCATGAAGGACCCCACTCACCCAGCACACACACTTTTTGCCCCGCTCCCCTCAGGAAGGAGGTTGAGGAGCATTAAGTGTAGAACCACTAGACTGAGGAACAGCTTCTACCCTGAGGCTGTTAGACTCATGAATCTCTAACCAGGAGAATCACTGTGCTGACACTTAGTTGGAGATTTGACACTTTATCCATGCTGCTGATTTTTTACCCATAAGCTTCTGTATTCATACTCATCTGCTCACAACAGACTCATGTTCAGGCTCCTGTGTAATACACTGTATTATAGCAGATTACACTCAGGGCTTAATTTGTAAACTGATTGATGCTGGAACAGTGAGTAGACC